GCCACCCCCGCCCGGGGCGCGAGTGTCGCGGTGAGCGCCAGGTGCGGCCTACACTCAACGCGCCCCTCCGCCACCGCTCCGCCCCCCACGTGAGGAGCGAGGGGAGTGGGATGTGGAGACGAGATGTCGAAAGGAGGGGCCGAGGATGAGAAATGTTTGTGAAGCGCTGGAAAATAAGCAGAACGTATAATGGAAGGAACGGAGAATGGGGAAGCGAAAAAATGGACTGATGCGGGTATAGGGCCTGGGGAATAAAAAGAACATTCGGGGGAGTGGGACTGTAACCACACGAAGAAGAAAAAAGATGGAAGAGAGGAATCACACAAGACTAATATAAAAACGAAATGATGAATACTATGTGAAATACAACAACAGATTTGCATATTATATTATATTACATTTGTTGATAATATTGAGGCTCATTTACGCCTGAAAGAACTCATTTAATTTTCTCTCATAAAAGGCTTTTGAATTATTGTAGAGGTAACACATTACCACACAAGTAGTAAGCAAATATAAAATTTTAAACAATTTCTGAAAGAGGTCCTTTGCTTCAGGGGAAGTGTTTTTAATTGAAGAAACATCAAAAAACAAGTTTTTTGAAACATCTATCAATATTTATACAAATATTAAATTGTGCGGTTTTCCAGAAATTATATAAAAATAATAAAAACACGAAAACACATAAAATTTAACAAACAAGGAAATGTTTTTTTAAAACAAATGGTTAGAATTTCAGTATGTATTTTAGGCTAAAATACCGGTAAAAGTGTTTATATTTCACAACGTTAAAATGTGTTAAATAATAATATAAGGAAGGCTTTATTGGTGAAAAGGTTCCCGAAAAGAAGAAAAAAACGCTCTTTTTCCCAGAGCCATCCGGAACGGGGACCGGCAGCGTATGACGTGAAACGAGCCCACACTCCACTTTTTCGCTCGCACAACCCTCCCCGGCGCCCGTCAGTTCTTTTACAACAGGCCGTGCGTTAAAGCTATTATACAGTCGGGCAGCGGAAGACGCGAATCTCGCGTAAGCCTTTTAGAGCGGCGGGCCTGATTCAAAAATCAAGGGACGAGCAACGCGGCGAATCGCCCCCAGCTCGCTGCAAAACGCGCCCACTTTTTAGTTCGCTCGCTTCACCTAACCCCCACCTCTTCACCCCGCCCCGTAGAGAGACCTGTGCGGGGCGCGCTCCCAACGAGTAATCTCCTTCATACGGCATTAGCTCATCATTTATTCATCGGCTTCCCTCTGCCGGGGACACGGGACGGCCAGGACGCTGCTGGCAATTATTTCTCGGGCAAGAAGCGCCCGCTGCTGCTTTGCTCTGCTCTTAAGCCGCGGCGATTCCTGAAGCCAAATCCCGCGCGCTGCTCTCCGCGGACCCGGAGGCGGCCTACGCATGTGCTCTACGCTCTAGAAGAGTTGACAGTCCGGCTTACGGCGGAGGCGAATACGGACGTTGCGATGGTGATGGTAGTTGTGGTGGTGATTATGATATTGTAGTTTATGTTGTTGGTGGTAGTACAAGTGATAGTGGTAGTTGTGACGGCGGCAGCTGTGGTGGTGGTGGTAATTGTGGTGGAGGTAGAAATGAAATTAGAGATAAAGGTGGAAAGGAGGTGAACGATGTGATGGAGATGGAGGGGCGGAGGTGGAGGAAGCATAAAAGTTAGGAGGCGAGGATGCGGAGACAGAGAATAAAATTCAAGAGGTAAATAAATATGTGGAGGAAAGCTTGTTAAAAGTGAATAGTAAGGGCTATTAAGATGGCGGTAGGAACAGGCGGAGGGGGGAGGCTGTGAAGGCAGCGCAGACAGCGCCGCACATGTACATGCGTACACAGTAGAGAGGGATCCTCCGGTGGGGTGGCGTGGACGGCAGCAGCGGCAAAAAGCCGCGCAAGCAGCGGCGGAACGCAGCGCGGAGCGGAGAGAGGCGGAGTGGATCGCGGTGGGGCGGAGTGAGGCGGAGCGGGGAGGAGAGGAGGGGAGTGGTTCAGAGTGGGGTAGAGAAG